TCATCAACACCAAACAAAGTGCATATGCTATTAATTCATTGTGTTTACTGACTCTATCACCACACTATATAAATTACCAGACGGCAGGAATTTGTGCCTAGTTTCTTCCTTATTTTACACAAAGAGCCTAGAAGATTGGGAATTCAGTTAATATTTGTTGACTGAATGTTGATACCTGATTAGAAAATTAGTCTATATTAGACTGGGCAATATATGCTGGTTTCAACAAAGAATTTTACAGAATATCACATTATTCTCATAGTTGACATTTCTATACTTAACATCATCCTAGGTGATAAATTATTGAAAAGGGTGCATAGGAAAACAACTTGGAAAAATTTCTCAAATATGTGGCTTCAAAACAGAGAATTAGATAGTACGTTAGATGACAGAAATAAGATTGAGACTCATCTCAATATGTTGAAATGCGTTAAAACAAAATGAAATGAAGCTGATATAAATGTACGGTGTTAGAGTTAAAATTCTAAAACAAAATCTGTGGACAATGAAGTGTTTTGGTTTCCTCCTACTTCACTGGTCTCTCCTTATTCCTCTCCTTTGCTGATTTTTCCAAATCTTCTCACCACTCAACAACTGGAGCACCCAGAGTTCAGGACTCAGATCTTTACGCTTTCCTCCACAGTTGAGCTCCCTAAGTAATATAATTTAAGTGTCATCATATGCTGCAGACTTCCAAATATACAAGGGTACTTCAAAAATTTCATGGAAAAATTTGTATTATCTTTTGTTTCTATTTTCCCACAAACTCTGTGAAGTACCCTCGTATATCTCTACCTATGTACTTTCCTCTTACCTTGACCATACATACAGTTACTTTCTAAATATTTCCAATTCCATATCTGGAAACTCAAATTTAACATGTTGAAAACCAACTTAATAATTTCCCAACCTCACCCCATTCCTCCTGTAGTCTTCCCCATAACATTAAAGAGAAACTTATTCTACCAGGTGCTAAGACCAAAAAAGCTGGGAGTCATTACTGACTCTTCTCACATAACTATATTCAACCCATAAGCACAGCCCACCAGTGATTCTTTCCTACCACGCCCAGCTGCTGATTACAGTCCACTACTACAACCTACTGTTAGACATCATCCTCCCTACTGCTGCACTACTGCTGTGTCTCTGTTTCCACCCTCGCCTCCTTGTGTGTGCCCCCATTCAGAGTTAGAGGGATTCTGTTAAAATGTGAGTTACATCATGCCACTTGTCCACTCGATTTACCTGATGGCTCATAAATGTTTCCTGAATTTAATCCAGAGGCTATGCGGTCGGTTACAAGGCTGTAAACACCCCTTCTCCATTCCAACCTCATCTCTTGTCACTCTCCCCCTTACTCCCCTGCTGCAGTCACACTGGCCTATGTAGTTGTTGTCTCCTCTTTCTGGCTGATTCTCTAATTCTTTTCAGATCCCTGCTCAAATGTCAACATATGGAATTAACCTCTCCCGACCACTGCATATGTATAACCCACCCCTAATCCACCGTCACTCTCCATCCCCTTATTCTGCTTTATTCATCTATGTATTTATTACACTATTTATCACTGCCTGATATATATATATTTTAATAAAAACATATAAAAATATATACATATATATTTTAATTTTTTTTCAACTGTCTCCACCACTTCCTTCTATACTATGAGAACCAGAATACTGTCTTTGCTCACCACTGCATCCCCACCCAGCACCTTAGAACAATGCCTGGCACAAAAATGTTCAATAAATATTTTCAACCGCATGACAGGTAAGAAAAAAGAAGGGGAGGGAGGGAAGGAGAAAGGGGAAAAAAACGGGGAGAGGAACAGGGGAAGAAATTAAGACTTACAGATCTCACTTGACTTCATTAAAAAAAATAGCTTACAAAAAACTCAATAACCAGAAATGTCCTATAACTTCTTTAAAAAGCTAATTCTCCCTTTTCTTTGTATCTACAGATAACATAGTTTCAAAACCAAGACAGGTATATGTCCCACCTCATTTTGTTAGGGTTGAGACACAATTGGTCTGTAGTGTTTTGTTATGGCTGCCTTGTTTTTAAAACATATTTAATAACACATAGTTTGTCCAGATAATGTCAACCCAGATCCTAGGAAGGCATATGGAAGACAAAAGTTTAAAAAATAAGCTGTTTTACTAGAAAAGAACACAATCCCTGTTCAAAGAGCTTGCATATGAAGTAGGATGCATAAGCTTTTCTGAGTTACTACGAAAGTCAAAAGTAATACTAAACGGATAACAATGAACTGGAAGCTGTTTGTCTATAAGTGAGAAAGTACCTCAAAATAATTAGAACTGCCTGGGAGTGTAACAACCTACCTCAACAAAGCATGCTTTTTGACAGTGAATGTGTTGGAACAGAAGCCCTGTGGCCAGTCGCCATCTATCAAAAGGTCGCCCTAGATATTTACAAATCTTAATTTAAACAGTGGTATACTATTTCGTAAAGCAAATTCTAAGTATCAGTCAAATAAGCATTAATCAAGTCATGGGGTATATTCAGAAACAAACAAAATAAAACAAAAAAAACTTTAAAAGATCATGGCAAGTGATATCATTCTAGATTACCAGCTCATACATTTAGTATTTCTCGATTAGAAATGCACTTTCTCCAAATTTGACATAATGTAAGAGAATCTTATAATAGCAAAGAGAAATCTTTATGCATAGTTTCATCACTGTTTCTAATGGTCTTAAAGATAGTATGTGGTATTGTCAGTGGTACTGTCTGGACACATGGTGTCTCTCCTCTCTTCACCTGGAAATGAGACACCAGCAAAGTAAGAAGTATGTGCATAATTTGTTATCCAAATCCAAGAAACTTTGAAGCAACATTTTGCATAAGTGAAATACACAGAAATCTATTAAATAAAAAAGTCTGGTCTTTGTCTATATACAGTAAGAAGTATGTGCATAATGTTGTTATCCAAATCCAAGAAACCTTGAAGCAACATTTTTGCATAAGTGAAATACACAGAAATCTATTAAATAAAAAAGTCTGGTCTTTGTCTATATAATTATTCTCCCTAAATACAATGTGGATTGTATTTGAAGGAGTGAGAGGCAATAGCAAAATGAGTTATGAAACAATGATATAAAATCTTTATATTCTGCGACACTGGAGGCTAAGGGAGAGCATTCCACCAAAAAGGTGAAACAGAGTTAATATACTGACATAAGCAAGGTATTAGAGTACAATTCTAGTCTTTGCTGTCAAGAGAAGAGGATGCAAGGAAAACACATGTTTGGGTTGAAACCTCTTATTTGGGGTCTTCCTCCCACCTCCCTCAAAAAGAGCAAAGAAATAACAACAAAGTCTAAAATCGCTTCAAGGTCGTAAAGGTTAAATTGAGGGTAGGCATTTTCTATAAACTAAAGTTAGTTCGAGCTTAAAAAAATAAAAAGATTACTGATGAGTAAATAGCAGTTTTCTTCCTACTGGCCCTTGATTTAAAAACATGTGGTGCTACTTCAGAGATTTGAGATAAGAGGGTACTTGAAAAAGTTCATGGAAAGACTTGTCTGGTCTTTTAATTCTATTTTTTCATGAACTTCTCGAAATACTGTCGTAGCAGCTTTGTCACTATTAACACCCCAATATTTATGACCTCGCCCAAGTATACTTGTCAGAATTCCCTTTTACCCTTTTGTCAAACATCGGTTTTTAGCATTTTCTGCTGCTCCTAGCAGCTGCCAAAATTTTAGGCTGACCACTCCACCTCTTGATACATCTTGGAGCACCCAAATTTGGAAATTTTCTGTGTGCTGTGTAAGTATAAAATTAATAGTGAAGGCACCCAGTAAAACCCTGTACATCGGTTTTTAGCATTTTCTGCTGCTCCTAGGAGCTGCCAAAATTTTAGGCTGACCACTCCACCTCTTGATACATCTTGGAGCACCCAAATTTTGAAATTTTCTGTGTGCTGTGTAAGTATAAAATTAATAGTGAAGGCACCCAGTAAAACCCTGTGACTCACAGAAACCTTAAGAGTCTCTTAAGTTGCTATGGACAGAGGGAATTCTACCTAGTCCCCAGCCCCTATACCCCAGCCCTGGCCCTAATCATTTTATAGATTTCTTCCTTCAGATGATCAAATATAAAGAAATACATCTGCATATGTGATTTTATTAACAGTTCAGTTTATATCTTACAATAAAGAGTGATTTCTTACATAAGGTTGCATCAGGTACAATTCAAACTGATTGTTTTCAATATTTAGTTCACATTTAAGGTCTTTATATACAGGAAACAATTAAGGTACTTTTCTCATATGTAATTAATTGTTATTATGTAGTATTAAACACAGTATGCTAAATGCCTTCAGAACTCATCTCCCATAAGTTTTCAAGTTTGCTAAGTCTCTTAAGTTAACACTAAATATTTCTGTAGGATAGGAAAATAGTACATTTAATATTTCTAAAAGTGCTGAGCAATGTCATGCCTTCAATACATGAGTTGTCATCTTTTGCTTTCCCAAAAAGAAGGTGCGTGAACTCAAAGGCAGGGGTTAGACAGGTAACATAGATGAGTAAAGTTGGCTCAGTGGAGGATGGTGGGAAGTGGACAGCATATAATGCACCTGAAGGTGGCTTCTGCTACTGGGCCTTGGCAGATTGTGGCAAGGAGGGAATGCTATGTCAGTGTGGCCTTATCTTCTCGTTTTTCATGTGAAGCCGGAATCCAATCTTTATGTGCAGTCTCTCAATTTCTAAATGTTGGCAACTGATTCAGAAGGCCTCATAAGCATGTGCAGGCCAAACAACACACACTTGTTAGCTGTACTCAACCCTGAGGCCTCCAATTTGCAACCCCACTCTCTACGGACTTTATTCCATATTAATGAATGATACTTTGGTGAGGGCACTCAGTCTTTGCCATTATTTTTCTAATACTCAAACATGTTAGAGCACTGAAAAAATGTATAAAAGAATTTATTTCCTATATTTAGTAGTAGAAATTAAATTCACATTACTTACCCTGCTGACTTCCTTAGGAGCCGATTCATCTGGGGGACGGAGAAGGAAGGGGGAGAAACACAATTAGAAACTCTTTAGCAGGTTCTGAAATATACAACATGTCATTCGCTCTCAATAACTTCAAGTCTTTTTTGCAATGCTTCCTCTTAGAAAATCTAAAACTGATTTTAAAACACTATAAAGTTAAGAATATTCCCAACGCAAAGAGGTGAAAAATGTTTGAGGTGATGAATATACTAAATACCCTAATATGATCGTTGTTCACTGTACAAATGTCCGGCCAATTTAGAAAAAATACAAAAAGAAAAATATTTCAGAGACAGAAGTTGATTAGGTGTTAGCAGAACAGGCAGGAAGGAATATTGAGAAGTTATTTCTTAATGGGTACAGAGTCTACGTTTACGATGACAAAAAATTTTGGAAACAGGTAGAGGTGGTGGTCATACAGCACTATGAAAGTAATTAATTCCACTCAGTTTTACATTTAAAAACACTTAAAATGGTAACCCTTATGTTACAAATATTTTATACTACAATAAAAAAAGCAAAAAAAAAGTATAAAAATTTTATTTATTTATTTACTTATTTATTTGCAACTGACCAGTACAAGAATCACGCCCTGATAAATATAAAAAAAGAGTTAGAAGTATACATCAATTTCTGAGAAAACATGAAATATCCCCACCACCACAACCACCATTTTCCAGATTAACTTTTTAGAGTTTCTAAAATGGAAATGCCTGCAAATACAGCTACCCTGTGGTATATTCAACTACACGTACACTTGCATGATACAACCCACATGAATATCTCAAAGGACCATTAACATTTGCACCATGGTTTGAAGATTGAACCTGCAGTCACTACCTGTACAACTCTGCGCAAAGTACCCAACTTCTTTTGCCACCTCACAAGTCTGAAGTGAAATAACCTAACAATACAAACTGCTACTGAAAATGATTTTTTTTCCTGCAAAGACCTATTTCAAAGTAATAGAAAGGCAATAACACCCCTTTCCACTCTTGCAGTTCATGACTCCCTGCCACTCACACACAAATTCCAGGTTAAGAACTAGGACTTAGAATGTTGCCTTTCCTGTACATTTCCAGCATGCACTCATGATTGAATCGCTGGAATGACATTTCACACAGTTCAGCAATAAAACTCACTTTAAAATAAAAGGACAGGAGATCATGAGAAAGGAGGAAATTTCCATGGATACTAAATTTTGAATCACTCAGGAGCATCAAGTTTGCAACAAAAAGTTCTCAACAGAAGACACTACTTTTTATTCCGTGCAGGGTTCTGTAAACATTTGTTCAACAATATTTACTGAGGAATCACCGTGTGCCAGGCACTTCTCCCCATTTTCAAGGAGCTGCATTCTAGTGGGATGAATAAACAAAAAAGCAAATAAATAAAATAATTTCAGAAAAGTAATGTCTGCTTAGTAAATTTACTTTTTAATAAAAGAGACAGCATCTTCAATCCAAACATCATTTTAATAATTTTTAAAAGACTGAGCAAGAATAGCTCATAGGAAAAAACTCCCTAAGGGGATTTCATAGTAAGTATACTTTCACAGTATATACTCAATGGTGTATCTTTCATGGTAAGTACTGAATTTTCAACATTTTATAAATCTTTATACATGTGCATATTTATACTTTTCTTTTTGTAATCACATTTGATGTTTCTCTGATATGAGATAGGATTTCAGTAATGGATCCAAATTTACAACAAGAGCTGAAAGTAATTCTTTCGTAAAGTATTTCTTTTGTGTTGGCTGATGTGATAGCTTTCATGTAGCTACCAATTTGGTCAAAGTCCTGCGGCTGCTTGTATATTCTTTACTCTGCATTTAGCTTTGAGGTAGAGATCCCAGAAATAGAGGTGGGGAAAATTCCACTAAACCTCACATACTTTAGAATCAACAAGGAATTACTAAATTCCCCCACTATTTGACTCATAAAAACTATAGACAAAAGTAAACAACATTAAAGAAGTGTAAAACATGAGAAAAAAAATTAGAGTAAACAAGTTTAGTAAATTCCTGGAGATACAAAAAAGATCCATTTAAAATCAAGTATTAAAGAGCAAAAATGGATTTTGATTGATTCTTATAATATGTAAGTATATTTTTTACTTTTTGATTTTCTATTTACTTATTTTTATTGGAATGTATTTGATTGTACTTATCTGTAGAGTACAGCATTGAATACCAATACCTATGTGCAATTTGTGATGCTCAAATCAGAATAATTAGTATATTCAACATTATACAATGTCATCAATTTTCATGGCTCTTTACTAATTCTTCCCTACCCCTCCTCCCCTCTCTCTTTTCCTATCTCTGGTAACCTCAGTTTTGTTTTCTTCTTGTGAAAATATAGCCTATTATTGTGATTGTTGTATCTTTCTTTCTTTTTTAATTTATTTTGTTTTTTGTTGTTTTTCTTTTTTTTAGCTCCCACTTATAAGTGAGGACATACAGTATTTCTCATTCCATGCCTGGCTTATCTCACTTAACATAATTTTCCAGCAATTCCACTACACTCAAAGGAATGGAAATCATCATGTTGAAGAGACACCTGTACTCCCATGTTACTGCAGCTCTATTTACAATAGCCAAGAGTTGGAACCAACCAAAATGTGCATCGTCAGATGACTGGATAAAGAAAATGTAGTATATTTACACAATGGAATACTATGCTGACATAAAAAAGAATGAAATACTGCCATTCATGGCAATATGGATGAACTTAGAGAAAATTATGGTATTTTTTTATTTTCTAACATGTCTTCCTACTAAAAAAGGATTTGAAAAGGTTTACAATTAAAAATATAGACACAACATGATCCAAAATGCAGCTGCTAAAAATGATGAATGTTTATATTTATTTACATGAAAAGTTGCCCATGTTTGGTTAAGTTAAAAAGAATAAAAGTAAAACTATTATACGAGCCCACACTGCGTTAAAAAAAAAATGTATTTAATTTATACGTGTATGTTATACACATTTTACAAATTATATATATGTACAGACACAAATCTGTTTCAATTATAAATTACTTTTTCTGAAGTATACTATGCTATCTCTTAAGTCTGAAATAGAAAATATATCTTAATGTATATTTTTATATATAAATGTAAATGTGTGTGTTAATAGTATCTTTGCGTGGTGAGATTATATGATGTTCCCTTTTTTCCACTGCACATTTCTGAATTTTTACAATCCCTAACCCTAACCCCCCAAAACTGTAATTTAAACATGTGGGTCTTTTTCTCCACTTTTACAAGGTGGATACCAAAATACCACCTTGTACATTATCCTTGCTAGAAGGAAAAGTCAACTTTCAGTGCCTGTGAACAGGTAGAAATACCGAAGAACCACCATCCTTCCAGGAAGCCTAGTAGAGTTATTGCATCTACCTGCAGAATCCCATTGTGGTCACACAGAAAGAAGTTCCCTTGCTGTTCCTCCTGGAACGCCCCAAAGTGCAGCCTCCTAATACCTATACCTGCTCACTTGTTCTATGTGCTTCAGTGCTTGCCCCAGGTGGGTCAGGATTTGCAATGTGAGCATAGGAGGAGAACTCACTAATGCCCCCCTTGGTAGGTTCAGTCAGGACCAGGAGTAGAAATACTACATTGTGAGATTCCCTAAATAGAGAAGAAAGAGGATGCACATCACTGCTACATTTATAATCAGAAAAAATGCCATTTTAATATGACCAAGTAAAAGCAAAAACTATTAGCATAGAAAATACAAAGTCAACAGTAAAAAGAGAACAAAGGAAATTATATCTAAAAATCTATGACATAAGAGTTAAGGACAATACCATTTCTACTACCCAAAGTAAAGCAGAAAATTATGGGAGATGTGATTTTGATTATTTAATGTAAAATAAACTAGTGCATTATAAGAGATGTAATCTTTCCTTGGCCATGAGCTCTACAGGAATTTGACATGGAGGCTTTTACAGGAATGATACTGTGCTTGCCATTTGCTTTACACATATGAAGGTGTTTCAAAATTTGGTCTTTTTTATATATTGCTACTCAGGAAAAGCTTAAATCTAATGTTAAAACTATGCACCTCAAGTTCTATGATAAGCTCGTTAATATTACATGCAAAATAACAAAGAATAAAGTGAAATGGTTTGATTAATGTAATAAAGAAGAAATTCAGAATAAAAAGGGGAGGTGATCATTTAATGCCTACATTACAAATTAAGACTAAAAGCCACACTTTGCATTCCAAATTTTAAATTGTGATTTTCATATGACCTAACTACAAAATTCCAGAGAATGTGTTTTGAAAAATTTCTACTTTTTAAATTGATTCCCAATTTCCTTGAAGTTTAACATAAAGTTGTTTTTACTAAGTCTTCCATGGAAAAGTTTTCTGCTTTCGGTGCTCATTCCAAAGGATAAGAAAAGAAGTACGAGAAGTTACACATTGGTGCTATGTATGCAGAGAGAAGAAACACTGCCCAGGACATAGAGACCTTTATGATCATTAGAAAGATTTCACTGTGCCTCTTATCCTTCAAGACTGACCACCTCACTTTGCCTTTCAGGTTTTGTAGGTATTCTAGCACTCTTAAATGGATAACACCTACCTTTCTCATTATGAGAGCATGAAAATTAATAAACAAGCCATCTCTTCTATATATTTCTATCCCTTAGGAGTTGAAGCAGCCCCACCCAGCTTCCTCCAGCCACTGCTGGCATACTGGTTCAGTGGTGGAGCTTGTGTAAAGACAGCCATCTGTCATTTAACAATGATGTGATCTTAACAATCCAATCCACAAGTATTTATCAAACATCTAATATGTGCCAGATACTGAGTAAATGTCTCAGTTGGTCCAATCAAAGTGAAGAGAAGGACTAGAATTTCATGGCTTTAAGAGAAACACAGATAAGGAAGACTCTAGGCCTAGTTGGTGGTGGCAGCCATCCTGTAATCACGTGGGGTGTCAACCGGAAATTAACAATAACCCAGCAAGGAAGACAGAGGAGGGA